AAACTTTCCAGGATATATGTTATACTTTGGGGGTGGTGGATATTAAACAGAAACTTTCGTAAATGGGAAACGTTACTCGTTTTGCTTTTTGTCGTAAAAGTTGTGCGTTAATATTAGTGGCAAATTAGTATTACTAAACTTTTCACGGGTTCGATAAAAAGAGAGCGTCGAGTTAGAGAAATTTAAATTCCAGTAGAAATCTCTGCGAAGGGTTAAAATCAACTGCGTTCGATGTAGTTTTCCAAACAGGGCGAAAAGTAATTCCGCTCACGTAGATGTACACCTGTAAACATCGTCGACACCAGTGATTTCGATACCCCGTGGACGGGCTAGGTAGAAGCACGGTGATTTTCAATTTTCCACGCGTTCGCGCGTTTATTTTCCCTTTACGAGTTCAACGATTTCGTCGCCACTTGTTGTGCCTGCGTATACCAGCATGGAAATCAATAGAATCTGCGATTTCACGTATCTGGCAACACGCGTGTGCGCCTGTGTGCTGATCTTGCAACGAGGAATCTCCTCTTCACCAATTATCCGTCTTTCCCTGTTTTTCCATGAAAATACCAATGGAAAGAGAGAGAGAGAGAGAGAGAGAGAATCGTTCATGCGATGTGGCACGTGCGTGCAGTAGGAAAAGCAAGCGAGCGTGTATACGCCCCCCTCGTGTGCACGAGCGAGAATCAGCGAGAGGGAAGGAGAGGACGGTTTTATCTTGGAAGCGATAAAGCCACTATCATCGTGGCTCTGGTTTGCGCGGCCCGTGTGTCGCGTTCCATGGTAAAAGTCCCTAGGAAACTCGGTCAGACCGAAGTATTTGTTGACTCGAGGATTTATAAACAATTTTCTTCTTCAAAAACAAAAAATTGAAGATAATTTCTTTTCCTTATTTCTTGGAAATGTAACGTTTCAATGATTCGCGGAAGCTACGCTCTTTCTTTTCTAAATCAATCGATCAAGAAATATTTTATTATTAAAAGAATTTTAAAAATGGCATCGACGAATTTCTCGATGTTACCACAAACTTTCAATTTAAAAATGAAAAAAGAAAAATCGCAATATCTGCGAAGCGTAATAAAACGAGGTATGCCTGTAATGTAAAAGTCCATTTAAAGCGTTAATCAGAGCAAGCAGATTCTATCAGAAATTTTTCCACTTCATTCCAGTTTGATCAGATTGCAGTCTAGTCGAATTTTCTTGAAAATCATCTGCTCGATGTTTTCATCGATCAACCAGTCTCGAAGATGCTTTTTGATCGTAGGCAGGATAAATTGAGACAGATATACGATGGAAGGTTGGATGAAACGGAAGGTCGAGTGCAAAGCCGTTTGTTTCGTTTGAAGAAAATAAACGGACCAAGCGCGGAGCAGAGGCGAACGTTCTCGTTTCGCGTATCTCCGTCTTCTCGTGGCAGTAACTCGCGACCGCGGAACCGTTATGCCCAACTATCGTTGCACGTATATGCAAGAGGATCTTCTTCTTCTTCTTCTTTTCACCTGGTAGCAGAGAAGGGAAGCGAGATCACGATAGAAAAGGTAGCGTGGAAACGGGGAGGTACGCGCTTGGGAACTCGATGAAAAGGGCATCGAACCTGTCACGCTCAAAGAACTCCCCAGCTCGTACTGCAAATTTTCTCCGGAAGATTTCAAGTTAGTTTTCGTTGGTAAAACGGGCGCGATCGAGCGATAACCGTGACAGTAATACGCCACGTGTTGATTTCAATATCAAACACGTAGAAACGCAGACATTTTTGATGCGTTTCACCGATGCGTTTCGGAGCAGCTCGGTTTTATTCTACTCTCTTCTGGAAAGTAGCTCCAGTTCACAAGGATGGATGTTTTTATCGTGAATCGTGTTTGCGTTTGATCTTTCTTGACCTTCCGATGGTTCTTTCGAAAGAAAAAGGTCGTTTTTATCGGAGGAATCCTCGCGATATCTCCGCCGACACCGTCCGCATACTTTCAGCGTTTGCTTTTAGGTAGTTGGCTTTCTTTTTTATCGGCGAACGCGAATTCCCGCCAAACTTTGCACCGAAATTATTCGCAGTTGTTCCACAGTTAATTGCACAGTCTTGAGAAGTTTCATGGCTTCCCGTCTGCCGAAGTTTCAGCTTCGAACGATTGTCGTTGGCCTGCAGCTATTCAAAAGTATCCCAGAGTTATTTTCAATTGTTGCTCGCCAACTTTCCAAGGGATTCTTCTATTTTTTTTCCCTCTCTCTCTTTTAATATAGATCCAGCAACCCTTTGGTCGAACCATTTAAAGGTTAATTAAACCGATTTTTACTCCGATCCATTTATCTCAACTTTTTTTTTTCGCCTTCCACTTTTTCATCCCTTTCGAAACGAAAGTTTGGAGATTTTTCTTGTCGAAGAAGATAGCGAAGAAGCGTTTGCAAATTTCTTCCTACGGAAACTTCGCCATTGATCACCCGCTGGTGTACACTTTTCCACCTTACGGCGTCGAACTTCGAGCTTCAAACTTCATTGTACTTTTGAAAACACCATCGTGAACTCTTTACTGTTATCTCGAGCCTCGTACTCTTTCCTATTTATTATTGATAATTCGCCAATTATCGCACAGTTCGTAAATCAGCCTAAGGGGGTGGCAAACGGACGCGTTTACGCACGGTTCGCGTGTTTTTACGATTTCACGCTGGCGAAAAGCTTGGATCATCTGAATTGTAACAGTATTTTCTATCCTCTCGACGAAGCCACTCGGCTACGCGGCAACGAACGATTCGTTCGACGGAATAATCGAAGGAAAAAAAGGGAAGGAAGAAAGCTGGTTGAATTCACGAGTGGCTCGTTGAAACGTTTGAAAGTTCGAGGAACGATCGCGAATTAATCTTTCGATTAATTTCTAGGGCTCGTAACCCGTGAACGAGATAACACCGTCGAACTTTCAGTGAAAAAAAAAAAAATAAAAAAAAAAAAAGAGAGAAATTCGTGTCGACGTTCTGAGAAACTTTGACGATCTCTTCCTTGTATTAATTTTCATATCTGCTTTAACAAGAAGTTTCAAATTAATGCGCCACCTTGATACGTACGTATTCCGGGAACAGAATTTAAAAGGAGAAACGACTTTGTATCCGAGGAAGGTTTTCAATCGTTTCTTTATTAATACACAGAGAGCCGAACGGTTTTTAAAGGAACTATAATTAAAAACGAGCTTCTTCTATTTTCTTTAATTTCTTCCCGGCGTTCCGTGCTCTCTTCTTTTAATTTGGGTTTTCAGTTTTAATTACTCCTGCGAGAGGGTGGCTCTTGTTCTTTCTCAGTATCTCATGAATAGAAATTTACTAAAATTATACCTTCGACGGGGGATGAAAGCTTCATCCCTGCTAGACTTTCCGAGAACGAATGCTTCAAACGTTAAATATATCCTCTTATTAAAAAAGAAAAGAAAAGTAGCGGTGATTTTCTCTGATTACAGAACGTTATTTGTCTTTTCAGACGGAATTGGCATTCACAATTTTGACGTCCAGAGCGCGATCAGTTTCTGATTATCTTATCGTATCGTCCGTTTGATGTCCGGGAAAGAAAGGAATGCGATTGTGATCGATCGAGCGTTCCGTTGGCGGAAGGTTTAACCCGATTTCCCAATTTGATCCGGATTTTCAAAAGGTCACGGTGCTTCGTCAGTCGGGCATTTTCTCAACGGGGAAAGGTATACTCTAATCCGATTCGTAAACACAATAGAAAGTATCCCGGGGAATGTAGGCTACCGTGCGGGCACGTGCTTTTGCCTACAATGTGCTTGCCTCTTCGTAAGTACAGAGACCTGAATACCTGGCTGACTCGAAAATGTTTGACATCCGGTTATCTCGTGTGTAAAACGACCTTTTCACGTACCACCGACGTTTTATCTTCTTCCAAAGTTAAAAAAGGGAACGGAAGTGAGAAACACGTAGGAAAGAACAATGGATAGAAAAATTAAGTCATTCCTTCTTGGACTTTCCAATTTTTATTCCTTTCCTTGTTGCACGTGTCTCTTAATATTTATGGAACGACTAATTAAAGTTCAGAGTAAAACGGAACGTATCGGTATTAATTGGTACAAGCTGGCAATTAAAGACACGAGATCAGGAAATTGCGTTAACACGAACCTTAGACGATTTTCATCCCTGTCTTCAGCGTTTTCCGATACACACGGAATTTATCGATTCCCACGATCTACGGAATTTTAAAACCGCAGTCGAGACTGCTTTAGATATTGTCCTCCATTCTTAGCTGGGAACACGTTGACCAATTCGTCTGTCGCGATTAAAAATTATCCCTTCGTTCGGAAACGTTATTTTTCCCTTCATTTGTTAAACGAGACAAACGTGATCACGATTTGTAACATCGAGGCGCGCATTTGTCGCCCTTTGTTAAAAACTTGACGAGGACATAATCGAGAAATCGGGTTGAAATTCACGGAATCAACTTTCCGATTTCACCCTTAATGGAACTTCATCAGCGGTTTGCCGGACTGATGAAAACTGAACGTCGATATTCGACTTTCACGATTTTTACAAAGACAGAAGCCCGATAATTATGCTAATAGATACAAGCGGATCGCGTTAATCGTTTCCAGATAATGCAATGAGAGCTTCTTTTTCCATCGAGTTTGCTCGGAAACTTTCTTTCCTTTCCCTCTGCCCGAGGAAAGAATCCTAGGCATTCTTTCAAACCGATCCTGTCCTTCTCGGCTTCGTCCCCCCGGCTGAAGTTGAAACAAGTAAGAAAAGATTTCATTATTCGACGAGTGGGTTCTTCTCTTCGTTCTGCTTTCTATCTTAATTAGTCGTTATAAAATGTTTGATTGCTTTCACGTTTCCTCCAGCTCATAAGAATTTCATCCTTAACGTTTCCTATACTCGAATGAAAACTCGTCAGACCCGTTAACCCTTTTTCTATCGTTTCTTTCTAATCTTCTAAGAATAATTAATAAAATATCGAAGGAAAATTGGAATAGATGTGTTTCTATTGAAATAACCGAGTGTTCTGTATGGTGTTACAGGGAAAAGTAAGCAAACCGACGCACCCGTTAAGGGAAGAGTAATTCAGTCGCGGTTTCAAGCTGATTCACGCGTAAATGCTTGGAATATCTTGGAAGTGAAGAGGGTTCACTGGTTGGAGCGAGGGCCCGGGTCGGTTTGACATCGAGAACGAGCAAGGCAACAGGCTTCGCAACCACCGTCACGTGGTAAGAAGCTTTCACAGATTTTTCTCTTCAAATTTTCATCCGTCTCCCGAGAAACCGGAGCAACGGTTGAAACGTTCCGGAAGAGGTTCGAACAAAGTGTGTCTAACAGGAAGTGTAAATTACCATGGCTCGAATCGATCGTAATTTCAAAATGCAATTTCAACTGGATGAATGGCTAAGCTGAAGTATAATTGATTAGTCTGGTGTATCGTGGGAACGCGGGAACTGTTACCGTACGAATTGAATCGCAAACGATACGTCGTCGGTACTTTTTTTCGAGATACCGTATACTATCGCGAGTAATTAAGATAGTTTCCTGTTAAGATACATTTTCTTGATTAAGTAAAACAATTTGGAACCTATGCTCGAAGCTACCCTAATTGATCGTTCGATTACGATCGTTGCCATCAAGATCCTAAAGGTTGTTAACAGAAAACTAACGTTTCAGAGGCGGGCGGGCGTGCGGAAGGAAGGAAGGAAGGAAGGAAGGAAGGAAGGAAGGAAGAAGGCGATTAGGGATCAGGTTTGAAGCAGAGGGTACGGATCTTGTGGCTGTGCCAGGTCCGCGCATGCTTCAGCAACGAGGCAGTTCAGTAACGACACCACCCGCGACGTCATCGTCCAACATGTTTCCCCAACAGTATTGTCTACGATGGAAGTACCATCACAGCAACCTACAGACCATGTTCTCACAGCTGCTCGAGCGGCAGGCTTATTGCGACGTCACCCTGGCCTGCGAGGGCAAGTTTCTCCGAGCGCACAAGGTAAACAGAATATAAACAGCACACGCACACACACGCGTACAGAAAATGTATAAGCTCTTTCAGGGAGATGAAAGAGGGTGTTGCTCGTCGCCACGTGTCTCTTCGTTTCGCGATGAAACTTTAACGAGCAATCCTCCTGCTGAGCGTGACAAATTCAATCATTGATTCTCCTCAAACTCCTCCCAAAGTCAATTTCCATCGATCGTTGCCCTTTTGTTCGGTTTCCATCACAATAGGTCGCGATTAAATCCTTTGTTTCTGTTTCGAAATCGTTCGACCAGCAAAGCTGATTAAATTCGAGACCGAAGTTTTATCGTAAGACGATTCCTCGGAGTTAGACCTTTGAGTATTAGGAGAAAAAAAACACAGAGTTACCCTTCTTGCAACTACTTAATATTTTTATTGCAGCAAAGACGATGCTTGTGCACCGTCATCTTTGCGACATCTTATCCGTGCAACAAGTTTTCGAGCATCGAACCGGTAGCAAAATGTTGCTTTTCTACCATTGAATAGGAACGACTCACTATCCGCCCTTTAATAGCGACCGCGTTTCACTCGATAGTCGTCTATTCGCTTTAAAATCCCTTTCTCTCGCGTACGCTCGGTTTCTATACGCTATTTTGCGTTTGAACATTTTTTTACAGCCGCTTGTTCGTTCATTCCGCGTCGTTTAACGCGTTACAGACGCATTGTATTATCGACCAGCACCCCGTGCCACTCCATTTTCACTTTCTGCAGATCGAACGTGTACCTTTACGCGCTTTTATACGTCCAGAATACCTGTCCTCCTTTCGCCGTGTAAGGTACTTCGATTTCATTTACGCGATTCTTTTATTTCAACTATGCGCATATTAGGTTGTTGCATATCGAATTACTGATTTCGAAACATAGAAAGTCCGACACGATTTGGTACACAACCGAAAGAAATATACGCCTTAACTTTTTCTATATAACAAATAGAGAAATGATACTTCGATGAACGAGTATCTCAGTAATTAAACTTCATCCCCTGATGAAAAGGAAAAAAAAAGAAAGTAGACGACAACTCGTACGACGAAGGCAATCTCGTTCAGTCTCCATTGACTCGGACGTTCCTCCCTCTTTCTTCCCCTCTGTATATATATATATATATATACCTATATTTTTTTTTTACCTCCCCTTTCGTACACGTGTCTCTGTATCGGTCCGCGGGTGGCCAGTGCCGTTCAACCACCCCTTTTCTCTCTCTGTAGGTACGTTTTTCTGCGTGCCCACCCCTCGGTGGCCGCGATGCCGCGCCGGGCGGAGAATTTCCTCGATTCGTCTTATTGCAAGTCGTGCAAGAGGCGGGAAAAAGAGAAACGAACCGAGCGAGATAACCGAGTCGAATTCAAAGAAAGATAGAGACAGAGATAAGAAATTGGAGAGGGGTGTAGACCACCCTCGCCCCAGCCCCGGGGAACATAAAACTTAACAAACGATCAATTTTCTGTTCTTTGTTTCTTACCAGCCTGGAACTACGGTATTTCGCCACTCTCTTCCCAACCCCTGCCTCGTACTTCACCGTCGAACCCCCAACCTCACCTTATCCTACCCGATTCCACCCTTTCTTTCTTGTTAAGAACGAGTCTACCGATACTGTCCCTTTTCTTTGCCTTTATTTCTTTCGAGACTCGCTCGACTCATAGATATCTGCTCCAAGTATGATCAAAATTTTATTTGTGGAACGATGAAATTTTAATTGCAATTTTAATTTCAAGTGTAACGTGAAAAATTGAAAATTTTGACAACATCAAAAATTATAATAGACATTTTATGATTTTCAGCAGTAATTGGATTGACAAGAAAAATAATTAAGAAAATATTAAAAGGTCCGACACTTTCGTTCTCTCCTTGCTGTTCACTTTACCCTCTCACTTTCCCTGGTAATCTCGCTATCTTCTTCTTCTTTTCTTCCCTTCCAACCCGGTATCCTACGGAGAGCGGGGGTTGTTTCAACCCCCTCTATCTCTCCGGTCTCGCCCGCTACCCCTCCATATTTCCCTTTTTTGTATCTCTGTCTCGGTTGTGCGTCGAAACGAGCCGCGCAGAGGAGAGAGGTACTCTATCAAAGTAGAGTACGTTTGGCTTGGTTTATTTTTTACTTTGGGAGGGGTCCAAATTGTAAAATCAATACTTCCTCCTAAATTTAGAATGCCGCCACCAACGGCAACGACGCCGACGCGCGTGGGGCGGCCTTTTTCCTTCTTTCCTTTCGGCCTCTGCAACGGTGGTGGCGCGCGTCGCGACGCCAGCCCTGATCGCGTCATCGCGCTTCGGGACAAAAGTCGTGTGCCGCGACCGGTTCAAGGGGTTACACCGGTTACACGCGACAAGAACACTCGTCGACCGGAAGCTTTTTCTCTCGGTTCTCTATCCAATTACTTATCAGAATACTTGTAGCAATAGTATAATAATGTTTTCGCTGGTGCAATGGTACCGGTACTCTTTCAAGTACTTACGCGTCTCTCGATTGAAATGAACGCACAAGTGCGAGAGGTCAAAACACGAATCCGTTTGAAGGCTTCTCGCGTTAAACAAACATGTTCGTCATGCCGTCAAACTGGTTTCAACTGTCTCGTTGATCCCATCGCTACTCACCGGGGTCAGAAATTACAGACAGCTGTTACCTTATCCCCTGCCACCTGTATCCAGGTGTGCCAATGATCGTAGATGCGATCGCTCTACGAATGCAGGAAAATTGAAACAAAAATTTTTTTTTCTTCTTTGTTTCCTTGCTTCGTTGAACGAAGGTTAACACAATAGTCGGAATTAGGGGCGCGTAGAAGGGTAACATCGAAACGGTCGAAATCGTCTCCCTTCGATCGTATCCCGGCTTTCACCGATGTTGCGGTTTGTTTTATAATACCGTTCCTCTGTTGTACGGGTTAAATATCGATTGACGTTCGATATGTAACGTTTTGCTCGTGGCATCCGAAGTCGTCTTTTTCGGTAGCTAAACCGATTTCGAGCACCGGGAACGCTGATCTCTGATGCAGACAGCCGAATCTCGTTTCTCCTTTTTGTCATCGAATGAATAGACTCGGTATATTTTCGTGTTTCGAGCATACAGATAAACGCGAACTGTTACAAAATTAAAGCATCAACGAGCCTTTGTTCGATTCGCCTTCTTTCGAATCGGTAGACACGTTCGGTGTAATCATCCGTCGTTCGAAGAAGCGCGATAAGACGGGACAAATGAACCTTAACGTTCGTGAAAATCCGCTTAACTCTCGCTGCATTCGTTGACGGAGTCGTCGATAAATATTCACGTCGGATTGGATCGACGTTAAATTAGAAGTTGTCGAGCGAAACTGGATCGTCAAATACTTCGTTAACGCGTCACTCATACATACCTGAGTGACGCTTGAATTTCCATCGGAGTTCGTTGTCCATATTGTAAGGAATTGCACGGAGATTCTATATTTCATAAGCTGCAAATCTGTGCCTTTATTTTCGAGATATCAACGATCGAAAATTTGGTATTCCACTTCCGGTAGCCGCGGTTCCTACGGGAGGAAGTTGAACCGACGCGACAACTGAAGGCACGTTGCCCTAGGCCCGCGTTTACATAAACTCGCACACGTATCAAATTTTACCCATTTTTCGGCGCTTTTCAACTTTCCTTCTTTACAACTTTCTGTATTATATATATTATTCGCATTGTCATCGAAGGAAAACATGACGGAACAGCGTTTTCCCATTTGGAACCGTGTCGAAGCGATAGAAAGACGCGATTTATCAATTGAACTATGCGACTCGTCGTTTTTTCTCGTTGACTAACGTTTCATCGGTACCGAGTTTGCTGAAATAAATGCGATAACAAGTCGGCTCCCTTTCGCTGCGCTCTCGAAAAAGCTCGACGAGTCGAGTAATACGAAGAGTCGTTCGAAAAATCAGACCGTTCTTACGATACAAACCACCCTGTCGACGATGTAAGAGGACAAGGTAAAAGAAAAAAAGAGAACAGAAGGAAACTCAATGATATTCTCTATAAAATTTGTTGGAAGTTTCTGTTCGCGATTCTTTCGCTTGTGAAACTTTTATAGAGAGAAAAGCGAGCAACAGCAGAACTCAAGGGCGGTCGTGTCGACTAACCGCATCGCGACCTATTTTTTCAAAAGCAGTTTTCAACTATAGACCAGATTCTATGTACGTTAAACGTCAGCTACTTTCTAGGTTAAATTTATTTTTCATTTGCGTGAAATCACGAACGATTATCGAGTGAATTTCACGAGCAAACTGTCGTTTTCTTTCGTTCCACGCGAATTGCACAAATGTCGCGAAGTACGTAACCCTATGCTTGGTTCGCTCTGAAAGTTTTGAAAATCTTGCGAATGACCATTTGATCGTGGTGAACGTTCGAGCACGGTTAATTAGTAAAACTCGTTAGTCATTCGCAAGGATGTTTCGTTACGCTATTTTTTTTTCTTTCGATCGACGACCAGTATGCGAATAATTGTCGTGTGCAACGACACATCGGGGTCAACTGTATCGATCAAGGCGAAGAAAACGACAGTGGGATTCCTGGCGTTCCGCGACCATGACGATGATATCTGCGCTCGTTCTCAGGTTCTCTCTTGTCAGCGGTTGATGCACGTTGCAACAACAACAACAACAACAACGCGGTGTGTGCCTCTCGGGTAATTATATACCACGACGGCAGAAGGGTTGCCAGGTGGCACAGGGTCGTTAAACCCGGACATCCTGTACTCGGGGAAAAAAACACGACGCTCCGCGTTTCCTACGTAACAAAAGTAGCTCTATATCGCTGATCGTTCTCATATAACAATCTAATAAGTTAATTATCAGCAAACACGCCGACGTTAATGCGCGAAAATTTTCTAACAAGTAAAAAGAAAGGAAAGAAAAAGGAAAATTGTTCATCGTCCGAACACGCCCTCGACAAAGACTCAATTAACAACAGCGACGACCAAGCAAACAAAGCGTTCATTAAACGACGCGCGACCTGTGATAAAACA